TCTACAGTGGCAGTGCTGGGGCTGAAGTACAGATCTGGAGGCTGGGGTGGCTGGCTGAGACTGCTGAAGGCCCCGGGCCTCTATTTCAGCCCCAGTGCCGCCACCACTGCCAAGGAGTGCTGCTGTGCAGGGTGGCGAAAGGGCAGAGATAAGGGGGAGATAGGCAGGTGGAGGGAGTTGAAGCGCTCCTCTGGTCATAAGATACCTAAGCCAAGTGCCCAAATTTTGATCACGTCACTGTGGGGGTACTACAGTGGCCATAACTTCGAGGACCAGGCGTAAGTACCATTTGTTCAGCACTACCATAACTTTGAATGGTCAGTGAACAAATGGTCATAACTCAAGGACTACCTGTACATGATTGCTCACTTACTGGAATCTGAGATTTTGAAACATTTAGCTTTCTTTGGTTTGTGTCCTTAATTTTTTTTTAAAAAATGTTATTTACTCCAGCCTTTCCCCAATCTGATGCCTTTAAAATGTGTTGAAATTGCATCTTCCAAATTTCTCAGCCAGTATCATTAAATCTTAGAATTGTAGTCCAAGTATAACTTGGTTGGAGAAGACAGATTTAGATTATAAATGAAAATTAGCTGTTTATATTCATGTATGCACCTCTTCCCAGCTATATACTGTATATATAGAAAGAGAGAGGGATATGAATTGAGGAAATAAATTGCTCAAATAAACCATAGTTGTGACTAGGATCACTAGTTAGGAGAATGATCTCTGCTAGTCAGACAGCTAGAATATTATTTGCATAGTAGATGCAGAGAGGTAAATGGTAGAATTCATTTTCATTTTAAAATATGCATAACAGTGTATTTGGCATCCAGCAGCTATATAATGTTGGTCATTAGTTGGCTGATTCTTACATGACTGCTTGGTAGCTGACAGAGTGAGTGATAACATTCCCAGATAATCACCCTATTTTGGAAAGTTATTCATGACTGGTAGTGGTGGGAGATACAATATGCTGTTGTTTTTGCTTTGTTTTGTCTTATTTTGAAATAAAAGGAAGAAATAGCAAGTTAAACATCTGAGATTCATTTCATTACCATTATTGTCATCCATCAAAGTTTTTGTCATTTCTGATTGTTGAATAAAAAGCCTCTACGTTTACTAGTGATTTCATCATATAAATGTAGGATTTGCAATATGTATTTATCTGATGCAACTTTTGTCAAACTTTAAAACTTTAAAAGGAATATGCTGTTTATTTATGTGAGACCAAACCAAAAAGAAAATGGCATCTTAAAGCCTCTCAGATCATAACTGTCATACATTATGGTGGTTCTGATTGCCTCCAAAAGCTAATCAGCTATCCCCTGTAATATAATGGATAATTGACCCATATCATGGTATCAACATGTCGTATATGTCTTAATTGCTTTCGCATGGAAGAGCTACACATGTAGTGCTCCTTCTCTTCAAGATATTGGTAGTGGAGAATGTGATTACTAGGCTCAGTCTCAGCTTTTCCTGTTAATATGCGAGGATGTTCTTATGAATAGCCCAATTGCTCTAGAACTGCAACTGGTCCAAGTTAAACTCTGTGCAACTGCTATATTGTGAGTCAATCCTAATCTGGAGATAAACTCTATTGTCAAATTTGGTGTATGATGCTGTGACATGTATGGAGTAGATAGAAAGAAATAACTTTATTGTGGTCATTAACCAGCACAAGGGAATTGGTATTCAAATAGCCAAAACTAAATTGACAATATCAGGGTAAGTAGAAAGGTACATACAAACAAAGAATTTTGGCTAAAAGGCAATATTTAATCAAAATATGATAAGATGCTTGCTCGAGCTATACATGTGTGACAAAAGAGAAGAGATTAAAATTAGCAATCTGGATAGTATAAAATTTAAAATAGAAATATAAAATAGAAATGCAAAAAAAATTGGTAGATGAAACAATAAAATTATCCAAAAGGGATTTGAGGATTATAAACTTCTCTTACAGACCCCTGTCAAACCTGAGAAGAATATAGTACAATAGCTGACATGGCATGTACACACCAAAGCATAAAGAAAAGTTAAAAAGTAGCCAATGGTTAATGCTGAGGCCGAGCCATTTCTGGCTATCCGTACTCAGGAAGGTTCAGTTGCTCTTAATTACAGGCATACCTCATTTTATTGCATTTTGCTTTATTGCGCTTCACAGATATTGCGTTTATCAAACAGCATTGCATGCTATAGAGAAATCTTTCATGAAAGGAAGAGTCAGTTGGCAAACTTCATTGTTGTATTATTTAAATTTTTTTTAATTAAGGTATGTACATTTTTTTAGACATAATGCTATTGCACACTTAATAGACTACAATATAATGTAAACATAACTTTTATATGCACTGCGAAACCAAAAAATTCATGTTACTCGCTTTATTGTGATATTTATGACAGTGGTCTGGAACCGAACCTGTAATATCTCTGAGGTATGCCTGTATTCTTTGCCTGATTTTGCAAGCCGCCATGCAAAACCTGGCAACCTTGTGGGTTATTTCAGGGTTGATGTTGGAAAGTAGAAATTGCTTATACTGTTGATTGGTGAATCCTGTTTTGTTGGTCAGGAGTGGGGTAATTAGAGCATTTTGAGGTTGTGTATAAACCTGGCAGTACAGAAGAAGATGTTCGATAGTTTCGACCTGTCCTGAGTTGCAGGGACATACTCGTAATGGATATGGTATCTTTTTATATCTTCCAGCCAAAAGTCTGAAGGGAGAGCATTATATCAGGCTAAGCCTAAGGTGAAGGCCCTTCTCTGATTCGGGATGTTAAGCTGTGTGAGATACATAGCTGGTACTAGACCGTATCTTAGGCTATTTGCCATGGGAAGCTGAGCAGTATTATCAGCATTTGTTTGACAGTCTGTGTCAAACAAACTTGCTTAAGTGTGGCTTTTGCTTGCTCATAGCCCAGATATAAATGGGAGAAAGTCCTAGGAGAGACAGCTTGTTGTAAACTGCTTGTTTCCACCCACTTTGAAATCTGTCCTCTAATGTCAGTGGCACTAAGCTTATAGGAAAAGTGTCAGCTTCAGCCAATAGTGCAACACAGATGGCCATATTCTAGTCTCCACTCTCACCATTCCTGCCTCCATGCATAGTAAAGCATTGAACAAGTTCCAGTGCTGCAAGGTTGGGGGTATATGCTCCAAGTTGTGTACCATATAATAATTATGCTAGGGGTTTGGCCTCAAAAAACTTAGTGGTTGCCGGTATATAATGACCTCCTCTGGAGTGATGAAATCTTAAAATAACTGTTACACTCCTGTGTGCATTTTGTGAATCATAGGTAGCATGGCCCCTTTTATTTCCATTAGCCTGGAAGATTACTCCCAGGTATTGAAAGCATTGCACTTGTTCAATGGCATAGCTGTTAGTAGTCCAGGAGCACTTTTTGGGCTGATTTGCAAATGCCATTATTTTAGTTTTAGAGTAGTTGATTTCCAGGTGTTTCTCTTTACAATGACGTGCAAAGGTGTTCAGAGCTCTCTTGAGTCCAGTGGGTGTCCTCGAGAGGATTACTGCATCGTCTGCATATAGCAGTATAGTAATACAGTCAGGACCAGAAATATTGGAACAAGGATAACTGCTTTGGCATTTGGCCTCTGTACACCACCACATTG